GTCTAGAAACTTCTGGCAAGGCAAGGCTCATATAAATAGGTGAAATGGCAAGACAGTGAGTCAGTTGTGAATCAGATCGTGAATTGAAACAGTCAAGTAACGTAAAGCTGTAAAGTATCGTGCAAAGTAAAGTTGTGTCAATAAAGTCATTATAATAATCGTAATCAGAAAGAACCCGCGTTTTATTTAGTACACTCTATTGGAAAATAAAACAACGTCTACACGGGATTAAGTAAAATCCAAGAACGTAACAATATAAATGCCAACACAATGAATTCATCAGCTGTTATTTTCCATTGTTTGCCCGTACAAAAATAAGGCAAATATTTGCTAGTCGGCGTTCACATTGTGGAAACTTTACGCAAAATTTTGTTTACTGTCAAATAATTTTGTTTGCCATCCCATGGTACAATAAATAGGTAGTCCATTTAGCGCTGCTGATGTTTTTGTCTTATCCTATTCGGATAATTAATGTTACCTTCATTTGGGTTACAAAAATACTTTCCGTATGTCATCAAATGCGCAATTACAATTCCCTGTACCACAGGATGTAAAAATTCTAAAAGTCAATTTCATTAAAACCAATTGACAAATGGTTCACATCAATATTTCCTTAGGAAATATCTTTATGTACGAGCATTTCAAAACAAAGTGGCAAAATATAGGAAGAAGTTGCAGAAAATTTCAAAAAGTGTCACATTTGGTATCCAAATAATAAAGTGGCACAAGAGTGGCAGGGCCGAAGAAAAGTATCAAAATTGCTATTTTAGTGGCACAACGGTTACGTTGACGCTCGGTTAAGCGGTGTACACACTATCATTTTTGACTGTCAGCTTTTTTATCGATTACTGACTGTCCAACAACCATAAATATTTTTGTGGTTGCCTGATGAATGACAAACATGTGAGGCCACACTATCAAAAAAGCAAAATTTGAGCAAGAGTGCCATTCAAAAATGCTAGTGTGTACACCGCATTACGCTGCGCTTCGGAGTTAAGGGCTAAGCAGAATGTTCGCATTGAGCCATCCGTCGCGTTAACTGTTATCGAAAATACAACAACCACAAGGAAACGATAACACAAACGGATATCGTTTCCTTGTGGTTGTTGTATTTTCGATTACATATAACGCGACGGATGGCTTAACGCGAGCATTCTGCTTAGCCCTTTACATTTTGCGTGCGTTTACCCGATAACAAAAAACTCTCAACGCGAACATTCTGTTCATGGCCTATAAATATTAATATATCTTGATTCTGTTTAGCCCCTTGTTGTGATATCGAATTGCGTGGGACTAATGTCATTATCGATAAGTCAGGTCGATTGTTTGTCAGCTGTTGACAAGTCGACAATTGTGTTTTTTTCTTTTATTTTCGAAGTAGATTCAGTAGATCCATATGAAAAATTGAGAAATGGAATTGGCATTTATTGATAATATTGATTTGAACAGCAGCAAAAACATTGACATCGCGTTGCGAAAAATAACATGCGAAGAGGTTAGTTGTTGGAAAAATAACTATTCTATAAGTAGTTAAATACAGACACTAAATGGTTAAACTGTAAAAGATTGTATTTGTTTTTTATCCCATTCGAGTCTTCTTTTAATCCTGTTGGATGATTAAAATGTTCGAATAAGCGCGCATTTCCTGATCGTTATTGACTCCGGTGTCGGGAGAAAAATGGGACCAGGCACGAGTCCTCTATACATAGTATTCCTCGGCATTAGATTGGAGTCATTGTCGACCTTTTTCTGATGTTTTAGAGTCTTCTTCGAGTTTTATTCATTTTTTATTGATTTGTGACTCTATTTCCAGAAATATAACTTTTGGAAGTAATTAATTTTTCAATTAACCGGGTTTTCATTTAAGCAAAGTTTCAATTAAGCGATGAAACAGATTGAAAATTGTAAAGAATATCATAAAATGTCAAAGGATATCATGAAATGTATATACTTTTAATTATAGATCACTATGACTCTCCCAAACAAATAAAGACCAATTTAGAGTTGAAGTAGTTGCATTTAGCTTTCGAAAAACCATATGAAGAAAAATATATTGCTGGTATTTAAATCCCTTGAATTTCTTATAGAACACAAAATTTGGCAAGTGTGTTTCAAGATGTGAAAACAACAAAATTAAAAATATGTAACAACAACTTATATGCTAATGTAACAAAAGAATAAATTCGGAGTAGAACAAAATTTCACCTAGAATTAAAATGATTAATTGATATTACCACAACATAACTAACATTTATAAATATCAATTAGAACAGAATGTTCGAAAACTACTTTAGAACAAACACAGATTAAATAGTTAGAAATTAAATATTTTTTAAACTCTCACAGAGCATTCAAAACAGACTTGTCAAAGCAAAAATTGCTACGAAATTTTGCCCATTGAGCCTACAGTGAAGTGTATTCAGTTAGATTTTGATATAGCTTCCCTATACACACGAGTGTGCTTATAACGAACACCGGTTTCTTTATAGCGATTAAAGTTTCCTGGTCCCGAAGTTTTAAGAAAATTTTTTCATACCAACATTTAGTTTTAAATTATTATAATTTGGTTATTTGTAGCAAGATATATACATACTTCTTAACGACCGTACTTCACTGTATATTCTCGCCCGATTTTATTAAATTGTTTACTAAGTACCCAACGTTTGTGCGATTGAGGGGAAGCTTCTAAGTCTAGAATGATTGTGTTAATTTTATGTTAAATCCCTTCAGATTTAGAAACCGCTTCATTATATATTTCCGATATCGACATAGCTTTCCATATGATTGATTTAAATAACCAACGTTTGTCGGATTTCAACGTGTTTTTTTTCAGCCCTCCTGCATTTATGGAATGGGCTGAGATGACAGACGTTGTGCGTGTAAGTTCAGATGTACACACAAGCCTATATACTTTAATTCTATTTCATACAAATTGTGCAGCAAATAATCACCGTTTGTCTAATTGGGATTAAATTTTGGACGGCAGCACAGCGAATGGTCTATGTCAAGTTTGCTTAAAATAGTAGTGCAGTTGGGTTTTAAGTACTGTACTGTAAAATTGTTTAAAAACATAATTTTTTCTAATTAAATTGCGCAAGTGAATATTTTTATTTCTTTTTATTATCTTCAATACATTTATTCCGAAAAAAAAAGAAATGTTTTCTATTAAAAAAATAGTAATAAAAGAAAACATTCCAAATTTGCTCTGTTTATAAAAATAGTAGTAAGTAACTTAAAACAAAAATATCACAAAAATATTTGATAAAAAGTGTCAAATAAAAGTGCTAAAAAATTTATAGTGAGAAATTTGTTTTATACTAAATAATGAGATATATTTCTTGAACATTTATTATACCCTTCTCAAGGCGGGTGGGTGAATATTAAATTTGTTACCATCACCTCGAAATATTTTCCTGAGACCCCCTTTATTCTTAATCAGAATAAAATTCTATGTCAATTTTAGCCGTCGTAAGAATTTGAAATTGTGCACATACATTGAAGATCTTTATGTTTTTCTCCATCTTTTTATTATCTTCAATACATTTATTCTGCATTGGTAGATTGTTCGTAATCTAGGTGTTACCAGATCGTCTAGAAACTTCTGGCAAGGCAAGGCTCATATAAATAGGTGAAATGGCAAGACAGTGAGTCAGTTGTGAATCAGATCGTGAATTGAAACAGTCAAGTAACGTAAAGCTGTAAAGTATCGTGCAAAGTAAAGTTGTGTCAATAAAGTCATTATAATAATCGTAATCAGAAAGAACCCGCGTTTTATTTAGTACACTCTATTGGAAAATAAAACAACGTCTACACGGGATTAAGTAAAATCCAAGAACGTAACAATATAAATGCCAACACAATGAATTCATCAGCTGTTATTTTCCATTGTTTGCCCGTACAAAAATAAGGCAAATATTTGCTAGTCGGCGTTCACATTGTGGAAACTTTACGCAAAATTTTGTTTACTGTCAAATAATTTTGTTTGCCATCCCATGGTACAATAAATAGGTAGTCCATTTAGCGCTGCTGATGTTTTTGTCTTATCCTATTCGGATAATTAATGTTACCTTCATTTGGGTTACAAAAATACTTTCCGTATGTCATCAAATGCGCAATTACAATTCCCTGTACCACAGGATGTAAAAATTCTAAAAGTCAATTTCATTAAAACCAATTGACAAATGGTTCACATCAATATTTCCTTAGGAAATATCTTTATGTACGAGCATTTCAAAACAAAGTGGCAAAATATAGGAAGAAGTTGCAGAAAATTTCAAAAAGTGTCACATTTGGTATCCAAATAATAAAGTGGTACAAGAGTGGCAGGGCCGAAGAAAAGTATCAAAATTGCTATTTTAGTGGCACAACGGTTACGTTGACGCTCGGTTAAGCGGTGTACACACTATCATTTTTGACTGTCAGCTTTTTTATCGATTACTGACTGTCCAACAACCATAAATATTTTTGTGGTTGCCTGATGAATGACAAACATGTGAGGCCACACTATCAAAAAAGCAAAATTTGAGCAAGAGTGCCATTCAAAAATGCTAGTGTGTACACCGCATTACGCTGCGCTTCGGAGTTAAGGGCTAAGCAGAATGTTCGCATTGAGCCATCCGTCGCGTTAACTGTTATCGAAAATACAACAACCACAAGGAAACGATAACACAAACGCATATCGTTTCCTTGTGGTTGTTGTATTTTCGATTACATATAACGCGACGGATGGCTTAACGCGAGCATTCTGCTTAGCCCTTTACATTTTGCGTGCGTTTACCCGATAACAAAAAACTCTCAACGCGAACATTCTGTTCATGGCCTATAAATATTAATATATCTTGATTCTGTTTAGCCCCTTGTTGTGATATCGAATTGCGTGGGACTAATGTCATTATCGATAAGTCAGGTCGATTGTTTGTCAGCTGTTGACAAGTCGACAATTGTGTTTTTTTCTTTTATTTTCGAAGTAGATTCAGTAGATCCATATGAAAAATTGAGAAATGGAATTGGCATTTATTGATAATATTGATTTGAACAGCAGCAAAAACATTGACATCGCGTTGCGAAAAATAACATGCGAAGAGGTTAGTTGTTGGAAAAATAACTATTCTATAAGTAGTTAAATACAGACACTAAATGGTTAAACTAAAAGATTGTATTTGTTTTTTATCCCATTCGAGTCTTCTTTTAATCCTGTTGGATGATTAAAATGTTCGAATAAGCGCGCATTTCCTGATCGTTATTGACTCCGGTGTCGGGAGAAAAATGGGACCAGGCACGAGTCCTCTATACATAGTATTCCTCGGCATTAGATTGGAGTCATTGTCGACCTTTTTCTGATGTTTTAGAGTCTTCTTCGAGTTTTATTCATTTTTTATTGATTTGTGACTCTATTTCCAGAAATATAACTTTTGGAAGTAATTAATTTTTCAATTAACCGGGTTTTCATTTAAGCAAAGTTTCAATTAAGCGATGAAACAGATTGAAAATTGTAAAGAATATCATAAAATGTCAAAGGATATCATGAAATGTATATACTTTTAATTATAGATCACTATGACTCTCCCAAACAAATAAAGACCAATTTAGAGTTGAAGTAGTTGCATTTAGCTTTCGAAAAACCATATGAAGAAAAATATATTGCTGGTATTTAAATCCCTTGAATTTCTTATAGAACACAAAATTTGGCAAGTGTGTTTCAAGATGTGAAAACAACAAAATTAAAAATATGTAACAACAACTTATATGCTAATGTAACAAAAGAATAAATTCGGAGTAGAACAAAATTTCACCTAGAATTAAAATGATTAATTGATATTACCACAACATAACTAACATTTATAAATATCAATTAGAACAGAATGTTCGAAAACTACTTTAGAACAAACACAGATTAAATAGTTAGAAATTAAATATTTTTTAAACTCTCACAGAGCATTCAAAACAGACTTGTCAAAGCAAAAATTGCTACGAAATTTTGCCCATTGAGCCTACAGTGAAGTGTATTCAGTTAGATTTTGATATAGCTTCCCTATACACACGAGTGTGCTTATAACGAACACCGGTTTCTTTATAGCGATTAAAGTTTCCTGGTCCCGAAGTTTTAAGAAAATTTTTTCATACCAACATTTAGTTTTAAATTATTATAATTTGGTTATTTGTAGCAAGATATATACATACTTCTTAACGACCGTACTTCACTGTATATTCTCGCCCGATTTTATTAAATTGTTTACTAAGTACCCAACGTTTGTGCGATTGAGGGGAAGCTTCTAAGTCTAGAATGATTGTGTTAATTTTATGTTAAATCCCTTCAGATTTAGAAACCGCTTCATTATATATTTCCGATATCGACATAGCTTTCCATATGATTGATTTAAATAACCAACGTTTGTCGGATTTCAACGTGTTTTTTTTCAGCCCTCCTGCATTTATGGAATGGGCTGAGATGACAGACGTTGTGCGTGTAAGTTCAGATGTACACACAAGCCTATATACTTTAATTCTATTTCATACAAATTGTGCAGCAAATAATCACCGTTTGTCTAATTGGGATTAAATTTTGGACGGCAGCACAGCGAATGGTCTATGTCAAGTTTGCTTAAAATAGTAGTGCAGTTGGGTTTTAAGTACTGTACTGTAAAATTGTTTAAAAACATAATTTTTTCTAATTAAATTGCGCAAGTGAATATTTTTATTTCTTTTTATTATCTTCAATACATTTATTCCGGAAAAAAAAGAAATGTTTTCTATTAAAAAAATAGTAATAAAAGAAAACATTCCAAATTTGCTCTGTTTATAAAAATAGTAGTAAGTAACTTAAAACAAAAATATCACAAAAATATTTGATAAAAAGTGTCAAATAAAAGTGCTAAAAAATTTATAGTGAGAAATTTGTTTTATACTAAATAATGAGATATATTTCTTGAACATTTATTATACCCTTCTCAAGGCGGGTGGGTGAATATTAAATTTGTTACCATCACCTCGAAATATTTTCCTGAGACCCCCTTTATTCTTAATCAGAATAAAATTCTATGTCAATTTTAGCCGTCGTAAGAATTTGAAATTGTGCACATACATTGAAGATCTTTATGTTTTTCTCCATCTTTTTATTATTTCAATACATTTATTCTGGAAAAAAAGAAATGTTTTCTATTAAAAAAAATAGTAATAAAAGAAAACATTCCAAATTTGCTCTGTTTATAAAAATAGTAGTAAGTAACTTAAAACAAAAATATTTGATAAAAAGTTTCAAATAAAAGTGCTAAAAAATTTATAGTGAGAAATTTGTTTTATACTAAATAATGAGATATATTTCTTGAACATTTATTATACCCTTCTCAAAGCGGGTGGGTGAATATTAAATTTGTTACCATCACCTCGAAATATTTTCCTGAGACCCCGTTTATTCTTAAACAGAATAAAATTCTATGTCAATTTTAGCCGTCGTAAAAATTTGAAATTGTACACATACATTGAAGATCTTTATGTTTTTCTACATCATTTGCTGTAACTTTGGATTCTGCGTTCTCCATGGATAGAATATTTTCCTAAATTTTCAACCGAATTGACTATAATTTGATACGTTTGATTGTAAGGGGATGGCAAATCTTCCCACAAAAAATGTATACCGTTTTGGTACAGGTACTACCCGATTTTCGTTACTTTGAAGGTTATAACAAAATTTACCCACCGAAATTTCACACTGCCGGGTTTTGAGAAAATGCAGAAAATTATCAATTTAGATCAATATTTATACATAGCCCTCATATTAGAGTAGGATAGAACATATTTATGTGGACAATTTTCTACATAGGTCAATGTTAGAACATATTTCCCATAAAAAGTTTCCATCCAATTTGTGTAATTTTACAGTTTAAGAACCGAAGTGACTGTAAGTTTTGCGACATTTTTCGATTTAGGACTATTATTGACATGGGCTCGGCCGAGCTTTTTTACTTATTTAAGTAAGTTCTGACATTTTTAAAAAGGGGGAAATCAAACTAATAGCGTACATTGGTAAATTTCAAGGTGTCATTGTGAAATCGAAAAATTCATTTTTTAAAAAAACAAATTTTTATATGAACTATAGAAATTTATTTAACATGCTTAGGAATGTCTGATTTGGGCAAAATGTTGAATGATTTGTTGCCATTTTAAACCTTTACTCTGTTACAAAACCAAAGCAAACATTTTACTTTTAGAACCCTTTTTATATTTTGTTTGTTTTCTAATTAATGCAATAAAAGAAATTCTAATGTAACACTTGATCAGTAAATATTGTTAAAATTTAATTTTAAAAATATTTTTATAGTTTTTTGTATGTTGTCGTCAAAAGAATCTTGTACGACCAAATTGACATATTGTAACGACTTTCATAATACCGATTTGTCATATAAGTACGACAGTGCTTAATTTTCGACACGACTACGCCAACCGTAATATGGGTGATTACATAAATATTTGGAAATTTGTTTAATTTTGTCGTCTTAAAATTTTAGGAAAAACTTAGCCGCAACTTAGATGTTCTCCTGGCGAAACAATGTAAAATTGAAGCAAACATGGCCGGAATAAATAAAGGCATTATCAAGATGAAAAGCATTATTAATGATACCAAAAAGCTTGACTGCCAAATATCACACACGGCTAACTTAGCAACGTCAGTAAGCGCGAAGGTTCGGCGATTAGACTTGGCTCGCAGTCGCGTTTCCGAAAGTCAACGAAGGGTACATGACTTGATCGATTTGCAACTATGTGGTCAAGGCGTTTCAACGGCAATAGTTGAAGAAGACTATGAAGTCGCTGCCGCTCACATTAGTCGATTTTTGGCAATGGATTTACAGTTACTTAAACGTACGGCAGATGATGTTCAAGGTTCTGAGAGTACAATAAGCGAATCTGTGCGAATATTGGAATGTGGTGCAAGTGAAATGCGAGAAATAGCGGTTCGCCGATTCGAGGATGCAGTGAAAAAAGATGATTTGGCATCAGTTGAACGATTTTTTAAAATATTCCCCTTATTAGGCCATCACATGGAAGGCATAGAAAAATTCTCGAAGTACATATGTTCTAAATTGACAACGAAAAATCAAAAGGAACTACGGAATTCAATGGAAATTGCGAAAGCTGATAAACGAGTTCATTTAGCCTATGCAGATGCAATGACATCCTTGCTTGAAAACTCGGCGCGTGTAATAGAAGTTAATCAACCTATAGTTGATGCATACTATGGACACGGATACTTATTGGAAATGTTAAAAATTTTACAACGACAGTGCGATATCGATGTTAAAAATTTATTAACAGAGTTTTTTAAAAATCGTCAAATTGATAAAAGGAAACAGCAAATTAACGAAGTTTTCTCTCGTAATTCTTCGAATACAATTTCATCATCACCACACATTGGACACTATCGAATGAACTCAGGAGGATCGATAGATAAACTAAATCCAAAGGATATCGATGGAACGATTGCCGAAATAACAGTAATGCATTCTAGAATTGAGTTGTATTTTCGATTTATGAAAAGGCGTGTTGCGGTAAGTATTATTACATGTACAATGTAACATATTTAATATACATGGCATTTAAAATAATAAATTAAAACATTGATACTCCGAAGCGTGAAGTAGACAATAATATTATAAATTGCGGTAAGCAGGAACGTACACAGGATTTCATTTGGGACATCCCCCCCCCCCAATAAATGGGGGGGGGGGGGGGGGGGGAATGTCCGGTACTACAAAATGAAGAAATTCGTTGTTGCAAACATAAATCTACTGTGAAAAAAATTCATTTGGGGGGGTCCCCCCGGGCCGCCCCCCTGCGTACGTCCCTGGCGGTAACTATCCCTTGGCATTAGGCACGCATAACAAAAGTAAATTTTCTCTTAATCCTATGAGCACCGAATTTTTTCCGTGACGATAAAATGATTTTCTGTGCACAAATTTAATACGACTATCTTAAATAGGATATAAACAAAATTTGACGTCGCTTCATCCTTGCATTCGGGAGATACAGTCCTTTTTTTCTAAAAAAAGTCCAATATCAAGAAAAACAAATGCAATGTCGAAAAATCGACTTGTTCCTCAGGTTCTTTTTTCAAGAATTAAATAATAATTTAGAGGATACAATTCGTACATGTCGAGAATGAAGCAATTTAAATAATATGACTTAACTATATTTTGAAAAGCCCATAACATGGACAAAAATTTTATATTTGTCGTTCAAACAATCAGGTCTTATCGTATGCAATTGTACAGAGTTTGCTTATATTTGGAAATTATGAAGCAACTGGCGCTTGCAAGACATTTAGGAAGGTTTGCTAAATGTTCGGGATCTTTTTTTTTAAATTCATTCATCTCACAAAGAGAGATGACTTATGACTTCACCCTGAAGATTTTTAATATACTGCAAATTTTGTAAATTTGTATGGTTAAAATATATGATATTTAATACTTCTATATTTAATTTCTGGGGCATCTATAATTGCCGGATTAACCTATTTTTGCTAAAGTTATTATTGATATAATAATGGCTCTATTTCTCGATAGTAATAAATCTAATCTTTTCTATCGCTAAAAACTGTTTAAGTTTTTTAAAATAGCTTCTCTATTTCAACGGTGCTACCGTGTTTATTTCAATTTCAATTTATTTCATAAACGAGAATCTAGCCCAAAGGGCCAAAAGCGGTTCAAAAAACAACAAAATATAAACTACTCCAAAAGCTTGAAACTAACATTGTATTAGCTTAATGATATCTTAACGTCTATTCAGTTGGAGGGGTTCAGAACCATTGTACTTCAAAAACAAGGACTTCAATATTATATCTACTCTCAACCACTAATTTCAATTTACAGGCTTAAATATATTATTATTATATCACAATTATCAATATAAAATATATAATTTATTATAGTATAATTTATTTAAATGTTTAAATCAATATGTCCTTTAATTTTTCAAAATCACCAGTAATATATTTGTAAGAGTACGATAATTTGCAACTATGCAAAATCGAATTAATTTTTAACGAAGAGAAGAAGAAGAAGACGTAGCAGCAGCCCGGATTGGGGGGCAGTTGTTGCCTAGACGTCGTAGCGCATACGCGCATTCCATTTCATTTAGTTTTTAAATTATTTTATGTTTTCACATCGAACATTTCTTTATTATTTTATGTTTTCGTAATATGAATTAAATCAATAAACGTTTTATGTTCCATAAAAATAAATCCGGACAAAACGAACAAGTGTTATTCTCTTAATCTTTTAGTTCAGAAGTGGGATCTTAATATCCACATATATTAAACGCGCTTACGGCTATCGGAAATAATAATAAAAAAACGTAATTGTGGCGTATTCCAAAAAAAAAGAAGTTCGAAAAAAACTATAAACGCAAAACGCACTGTTGCATAAAAAAATCATATACGTACATATGTATAAAATTTTTGTGAACATACACGAACATATATACGTTTAAGAACTTCATAATGTGACGATCGCTTACGTGAGGAATGCAAAGTAACGGTATAACGATTTGGAAGAATATAAAAGGAAAGAGAGGATAACGTACTAACAATGAAATAACGAACAACAGAGAATGTGATATGAAGTGCAACAACTCAAACGTAACTTGAAACGATAGAAAAACGACTCAAATGGAAAATACATAGGAACGAAACGAAATAAAAAAAAACGATAATTATCGAACTTAAACTAATAAAAACGGACGGAAAACGAAAAAGGATAAACGACTAGTAAACGGAGTGACAATTAAAAAGAGATCAAAACAAAACAACATGCCTAAAATAACGTCATTAAAAGTTGATACATTAAAACGGTTACTTCGCGAAAGAAAATTAGACACGATGGGAAAGAAAAGTGAACTGGTCGAACGGTTATCTAGAGCTTTAGGTAGCGATGAGGTCGAGTGTGAAGATATTGATGGCGTAGAGGAGGAAGTGTCAATACAATCCCAAATTAATACTTTAAAAGATATGATGGAAAATGTGATGTCAATCATACAACAACAACGTCAAGTAACAACACCCATCGTCGATTTACCAGCAAACGAAAGCAACGAAACCAAGGTGAATGAATCAGCTCTTACCCAGAAACCGAGTTACGAGCCCATCCAGAGAACGTACAGTGTACAAGAAATGGCGGAAATATTACCGGAGTACGATCCAACAAAAGATTCAACATTCGGCGTAGAACAATTCATCGATAGAGTAGATAAAGCAGCACAAGCCTACGAGTGTGAAGAAACTCTTTTGCTACTCGCGGTGTATAGGAAGTTAAAAGGCCCGGCAAAGTTATGGCTTGATTCGACTCCAGAATTTTTCGGAACGTGGAATGAGTTAGCAAACGCCTTAATGGAGGAATTCAGCACAAACGCGGATGAAGCAGATATTCATTTTAAAATGACATCAACCGTACGACGGCAAGACGAATCCATCAGCGAATACTGTTTTCGAATGAGCGCACTGGGAAGACGGTATGGTATCAGTGAAACAGCGGCAGTGAAATATACTCGTGACGGATTGAAGCATCGTGAGCTACAGCAAGCAATTGCACCAATACGGTTTCGAACAATGCGAGGGTTACGTGAAGCATCAGGACAATATTTAGCGAGCATCGCTAATTGTAGCAACAGGTCAAATCTAATGTCTTCAACAGGGAAACGCGATCCGTACACCAAGGAGGATGTCGATAGGCGTAAGAAAGCGGACCCAAAGGTAATGTGCTACAATTGTTCCGAACCAGGACATATTTCCAGTCAATGCCCAAAACCACCGCGAAGAGAACGATGCCGAGATTGTCACAAAGTTCATCCTAAAGATTCACCGACACATTGTGGACGCACAGAAACAAAAACTTACAGCGTACGTAAAGTACTCAACAATAAACCTGTTACTATAAATGGTTTTACATACGATGCCTTGATTGATACCGGTAGTGAATGCAGCATGATCCATAAAACAGTGGCGTATAAGCTAGGAGTCGACATTAGAAAATGCAAATTACGTATCAGTGGAGTTTGTGGTGGAACGTGTGTAATCGAAGAAGTCTTGACAACAAAACTTACGATTGATGATATTGAAATTACGGCAGAACTTTACGTTGCGGATGATCATATTTTTACCCCGGACTTAATTCTTGGAAAAGACATTTTTACGAACAATGAAATACAGTTGATAGTAAATGATAAGGAGCAACGATTGGAAAACGCCAATGTATTCACGACACGGAAAACGGAACGAAAACCGATTGCCTTATCTGAAATCAATTGCGGAGTAAACGACGAAGGTATCCGGATTATGTTGTGTGAACTGATAAACGAGTATAGAAATGTTATGGGAAGAGACATAAGCGAAATCGGATTAACGAACGAACTAAAAATGAAAATAGAATTGACGACAAAGGAACCTATTGTATCCAGGCCATACCGAATACCCGAACCGAAAAAAGAAATAGTAAAAACGATGATAAATGAACTTTTAGCGAACGATATTATAACAAAATCTACGTCCACGTATGCCAGCCCAATTGTACTTGTAAAAAAGAAAAACGGTCAGGATAGATTATGCGTCGATTATCGAAAATTAAACCAGCACGTAGTAAAGGAGATATTTCCAACTCCAAATATCGAAGAACGACTGCAAGAGATAAACCAATTCAAATACTACACGGTCCTAGACTTGAACAGCGGATATTACCAGGTTCCGATGGACGATAATAGTAAAATGTATACTGCATTTGTGACACCAGACGGGTTGTACGAATTTAAACGAATGCCTTTTGGACTTAAGAACGCGCCGGCAGTGTTTCAGCGTTTAATGGCACTAATCCGCGAGAGAGCTCGGGACGGAGATGTATTCCACTATATGGACGATATCGTTGTGGGAAGTAATAGTATTGGCGAAATGTTGGACAAATTGCGGAGAGTATTTTCAGTCTTACGAGAACTAAATTTAACGCTGAATTTCCAAAAATGCACATTCCTAAACGAATCTATAGAATTTCTTGGTCATAAGCTACACTCCGACTGTCTAAGCCCAGGGAAGGCGAAAACGGCAGCAATTCTTGAATTTCCAACCCCCACAAATATAACAGCCGTAAGACAATTTCTTGGATTGACCAGTTATTTTCGTAAATTCGTTCCCGCATACGCAGTCATCTCAGAACCTCTACGTGTATTATTGAGGAAGGATTGTTCGTTTTATTGGGGTGAGAAGCAGGAAGCGGCATTCCACGAATTAAAAACGTATTTGACATCCAACCCGATTTTGGTAGCGTACAACATGAATAGTGAACACCAGATCCATACGGACGCAAGCTCCATAGGTATTGCCGGAATATTGATGCAGAAAGAAACCGATGTGTGGAAACCTGTAGCTTTTTACAGCAGATCAACTACCGATGAGGAGAAAAACTATCATAGTTACGAACTTGAAACATTGGCAGTTGTCGAAACGTTGGAACGGTTTAAATATTATATCTACGGCAAAGAAATAACGGTAATTACTGATTGTAGTGCA